CATAGGCCCTGTGCAGGGTGGACAAGAGGAAGCCAAGCTCTGGTTAAGCCACATGAATGCTCTCACAGCAGAGTGTGGCCCTGAACGATGCTCAGAGCCCACTGCCCTCAGTTACCCTCACTGATTCACAGTGCAAACTTCCAGCCTGTTTGCAACAAGTGACTACCCAGGTTGGGCTGGTGGCCTTCCTGAGAAGAGCAGACTTCCGTAGCTAGAGCTTCACTCTGGGCTCCCTGTTTGTTCAGTTCTGAGCTCTGGCACAAATGAAAGACCTGAATGGCAACAAAAGAAGAGATAAAAACTCTGCTCCTACATAAATGGTCAGGCAGCTCCAGATGCAAAAGGCTGAGCTGTCTGAAAAATTCAAACTAAACATCTTTTAGACTCCTCCTTCTAGTGCTTCTCAATGTTAAACTGCACCACCATTTCCCAGGTCATAAAAAGGAAGAGGAGAAGGTCTTCTGATGCTTGCCTCTGGTCTCTTTCCCAACATCTCTCCCCTCCTTCCCCCGGACCTCAGATCCGGGCATGGGGGCATTGTGTGGGCAGCCTACTTAGGACCAGGTTTGCTTGTCTCACCCAGGGCCTCTGGGACAATGGCAGACCCACATGGGCTGCCAAAAAGGCACAGCCTTCCCTTCTCTCTGCTGCCCCACAGAGGACCTGCTGGAGGTGTGATCCTTTTCCTAGCACTTGGTCACAATCTGAGCCGAAGTATGGCCTCTTCAACCTGCATGAGCACAGGCACAACTGGAGCCAGGTTAGCAGGGCCCTCAGCCCCCAGGGGTGTGGGACAGCTCCTGATTTGGGTAAGCCAAGTCCCACCCTTTGGTCATGGCCTTACCCCAGGTGGAAATGGAAACGACATCCATGAAATAGCAGCAGAGAGTGGGAGTAAAAAGGAGGACCACACACTATACCACACACCACACGATACCACACCACAGAACATACATGCCACGAGGGCTGCAAAATTGGGGTCAGAAGGAGCCATTCCCCAGGGATGATCTCAATTACTCTGCCCTGCCTTGGAACTGTCTGACTGGGCTTTCTGCCCTAGCATCCTGGGACTTCTGCCTGGAGGGCTCCTCACTTTAAGAGGCGGACGCTGAAGCTCCAGCAGGAAGGTGACTTACTGCGGAGAGTAGCCTCCTCAAGGCAGGTGCAGACCACATTGTGGGGGTGTTGGCTCTGGAGTGTACAGAAGCCCACAGTGGGCCTGAGTAGCACCACTCAGACACACTACCCCCATGGGAACCTAGTGACTTCCCACTCCCAAAATCTTATAATTTCTGAGTTTACTATTGGCATCCTCCCTTTCCTTTGCAACATAGACACTTCCTAAAGGGTAAGTGCAGGCCCTTAGCTCCTGATGTCTCCCAGTCCACCTGCTGAGGCCTCTGGCCCTCAGCTCACTGAGAAGGTTCTGCTTAACTGGCAGGGGACCCCTATATCTGTGCCTTAGAGAGTTCGCACTCTCTGGAGACCCAGCAAGGTCCAAGTCAGCTACCTTCTCTCCCTTTCACTGCATTGTCTGGAAACCAGACTCAAGCTAGGGAAGAGCTGGCCCCTTTTCGTACACAAGCTGCTCTTGGAAAGAATGCAGTTCTGCTCCCTGCTCTAAGAAGAAAAGCAGTCTACAGCTCCGGTGAGTTTCTGCATGATTGGAAGGAGACTGCTGGTGGCATGAGGATTTGGAAGATCTGGATCATCTCCTGTTCCATCCCCAGGGTTCCCAACCTCTTCTTAGGACTCATGCATGCCTCTGCCCCTGCCCATACCACAAGTGCAGTGAGATCTGCATGGAGCCTCTGAGGGCTTTGACTGCACCATCACACAATCTACACTGCTTCTCTCACTCAAGTGCCAGGCAAGTATGGTGACAGGGATATGAATATACCAAATGAGCACAGCTCCAGCCAGGCTTCCCCAGTATAAGCTGACAAGGCATGCTACCGTCCTTTCTGGAAGACCCAGTCCAGCTGTTCGAAAGCCAGAATTCCATTTAAGAATCCTGGAAATGCCGGCCTACCAGTGTAGAGGTCTCCCTTAATACAAAAGATCTGGCTTCAATCAGCGGTGACCAGACCTTTTTAGTGTTTGGCAGACCCAGCAGCAATCCCTCTGGACCCTAGCTGGTCTGCCCCATGCTCCCCGAGCAGGGATGTCACACCCTTCTCACTCACAGAAAATAGTGATTCAAGAGGCCTCAACTCAGTCCTTCCCCAAAAAGTGTAAAATTCTGTTTACTTTGGCAGGGACAATTTAATGATCTCAGATGAGGGTAACTTTGCTCATGGCCCTGACACACTTGACCCCTGCTCCCCCCAACAGTGAGGACTAGGGTTCCAGAGAAGCAGCTGGGCTTGCACTGATCACCCCAGCTCAACCCCACTGCCTAGAAGGTAGGCAGACAATGCAGAGGGCTCTCAACTGTATTAACTAGGCCCAGGCCTGTTCTACACCTCTTGGCGAAGCTACTTTAGCCACATCCTAACAACAGAAAGCTGTCTGTCCCATGTTATGACTCTCTTGGGGTCACTTTTACAAACAGAAACACACTGTACAGATGGACGCTGAAGAGCCAGAGGGCTGAGTAGAGATGGAACAGGGTACCCACCAGAGCCCCTGGTGGTTCCAGGAAGGTCCAGGTGAAACCTGGAGCCATTCATTTTATTCCATAAACAGCACACTGAAGCCTCAGGGACAGTAAGAGCCTTCTAAGGTAACACTCCTCCCTTCTTCCCAAGATTCTGCCTGTAAAAATGCAAGGAGATGCCTACTTGCTCCCTCACCCACAACACATCTCCTAAGAAGTGAGCAGCAGAAACCAAGGAATGGAAATTTTTTTCCCTACTATAAAAAACTAGGCTAAATCAAGACATTTATTGCCCAAATGTTGTTTTTTCTAATAATTAAAAATAGTATCTAAATGTATGCTTTTGCCCAAACATATAAAGTATCTTAAAGTTTCTTCAAAATAATATTTAACTGTAATTTATTAACTTCCTTTCTAAATCTTCTAGTTTGACATTTAACTTTTTAAAAAATTCATTAAGACAAGTATCAGCAAAATCACTACTAAAATCATCCATCACTTAGAAAAACAGATCGAGGGTTCCCTCGCAAAACCAATAATCTGGGCACCATCTCTGCCTCGGTATTTAAAAAGATGGAATTGTACCAGAGCAGTAACTTTGGGATTTTTTTTTTTTAACCTAAAGAAACTTGAATTTTCTGATCATTTATAGTGACTCACATAACCATAGCAAATAAACTCACATTGTAAGAGGTGACAATTATAATTTTAAGAATAAGTTATAAATAGCATTTTCCCCCTTTGGGATAATTTTACAGACTGGAAAGGATTCAGGTGGGGACCATAAATAAACTGCATTTGAACCTTAGTCTTTCCTGTCCCTGAAGAGTGTAAAGTGTAACTCTTCAGAATTAAAATACATATAAATTGTCCTGACCCTTAGAATCCAAGACAAACACAAGACAAGGCCCAGCACAACATCTAAAACAACAGTACCCAGAAGGGCTGCAGGATTTTTCAAAGAAGCCATGGACTGGTGGAGTCCAACTTATCTCTCTTTCTCTCCAACCATTGACAAAAGACCACAAAAGACTCGCAGGCATGAACAAATCAAATAAAACAAGGAAGGCTGGCATGCTGGAGCTCACTTTTACATAGATAGAAAATCCTGCCATCAATGAGACTCTTTGGGGAGAAATTCGGGAACTGTGAGAAGGGCTTGCACCAAGACCCTGCCCTAGCGGCTACCGCAGTGGCTGACAGCAAGGGGGGGGGGTCAACCTTCCTCCTGTTCTGAAGGTCTGGGTTGTGAGTTTAAGTCTGACAAAAGCACTTTTGTGCAGCTCCCCTTAAGGTTACTATCACACTGCCAAAACCTACAGCAACAACACAGCGAAAGCGTGTGAAGGCCAAGGCTGATGCAAAAGCTAAGCTAAGCACAAGCACATGTTGGCGCACTCTTGAGTGTGGCTTTTGGAATGCGGTGTGCTACCTGGCAGATGAACCTGAGTTCCAGGAGAGGCAAGCTTTCAAGCCCTGACAGCCTCTTTGCCAGCTTCTTAGGAAACCCTCCTGGCCTGTCTCTAGGAAAAGTGGCAGTCCCCCTCCTTTTTCCCCAAGCCCAGTCATTGCACTACCTTCCTCTTATGTCTCCAAGGCACTGCTAGTGCCCTCCTCCGACCAGCTTGGGTTTTTTGAACCTGGTGGATCCCACCCCACAACCAATGTCATGTCAGCTCAGTGAAAAACATCTCCTCCATTTGATTTCCCCTCAAAGAGAAAAAGTCCACTTTCTTGATCATTCCCAATTAGAACTTGATAAAAGAGGGCAGTTCTGACATTTGCAGAGATCTGGGAAGTTCCATAAGACATTCTTTCAGACAAAACTTCCCGTTCAAAACTGAGGCGGTGCCACATTAATTTTAAAAGTTAGGGGAGAAAGATTTCTTTTGCAGCAGTTCCTTACTGTGAGAAAAAGCATTCCAGTCCTTCAGTGGGTTCCAGGGTGCAACACCAGGTTTTCCGCCTCTCAGCAAGGCCACGCCACCCCCACCAGAACAAATAGGGGTGGGTGAGCTAAAACGTACTCCAGTACCCCTTTAGGTCACCCGTTTTGGAGCCTCCATCCTAAACCGTTTCTACCTGATTTAATGCCAATTGCCACACCACAAACATCTTCCTCTCCCCTAAAGGGTGATCTGTTTACAAACTACACATGGCTGTGACATTTGGTAGCGGCAGGCAATCTCTTCCCAAGGCTTTCAGATGCTACTGTCCACTGCACGATATATGTGTGCGTGAGTGAACGAGTGTGTGGGTGTGAGTGTGAACGAGTGCTCTTCTCCGCGCGGGTGGGGGGGCTACAGTCCGACGCGCACTCCTGCTCGGTGACCCGCTGGGCCCCAAGCTGCTCTTCAGCAGGGGTCCTCAGCGGCAACCTGCTCCCTCCCCATGCCGCATGCTACCTGCAGCCGCAAGCCTCCACCACCATGTCCTCGTACTGCTTGTAAACCACGTTGTTGGCGGCATCAATGTACAGGATGCTGATGGGGCTGAGGCGAGCAGGCACGCAACAGGAGGCTGGCGCGGCATCGGGCGCCATGGAGTTGAGCAGAGTCTGAATGATGGCATGGTTGGTGGGCTCAAGATGCGAGCGCAGCGGGAAGTCACAAACGCCCTCGCAGTGGTACGCCTCGTAGTCCAGCGGCGCGATGATCCAGTCGTCCCAACCCAATTCCTTGAAGTCCACATGGAGCGGTTTCCGGCTACAGCGGCTCCGACCCCGGCGCCCGTGGCCCCGGCCCGCACCCCCGCCGCTGCCCTGCGCTGTCCGAGTACCGACCAGCGCTGTCCGCCGCCGCCTGCGGCCGCCAATCATTGCCTTTGGCGACCCAGTGCCGGGTCCCGGGTCGGGTGGAGGTTCTGCAGCTAGAGCGGCCCGGAGTGCGCGGGCCTGGGCACGTATCTCCCGGAACAGGCTGTCCTTCCTCTGCGTGCGGGAGGAGACGACCAGCAGCGCGCGCTCCTCTGCCGCTGCCACGGTACCTCCGCCCCGCCAGCCGAAACCCAGCAGCCGCAGTGCCAGCGGGCTCCTTGCGGGGCCCACCGCTGCGTGCAGCAGGACGCAGAACGCGCTGGCGCGCGGCTCCTGGCGGTGGCTCTGCAAGGCGTCCGCCACGTCGAACACTTCCCAGCGCGCGCCGTCCAGGGGCTCCGCGGCCTGCGACTGCAGCAGGCGCGGCGTGCGGGCTGCACCCGGGCACGTGGACAGCAACAGCAGCGGTGGGGGAGTCGCAATGCCAAAGCCTGGCTCCTGAGATTCGTGGCGCAGCACGCGCAGCTCAGCGCCCACTACCTCGTCGGCATCGGGAAGACTGGACACGTCGAATATGAAGCTCTGGCTGGTCTCGGCCGCCGATTCGTCTACCAGGGACGGGCAGAGACAGAGAGAGAAAGGACAGAGTAAGAGCGAAACCCGAACTCCCCGCCACGGGACCACCTAACAGCACTCGATTTGGCAACCTTCGAAGCAGGATACAAGCTCCCTCACCTAGGCCCCAATTGAAATGCTGCCAGCCTGGCCCAAAGCAAGGGCGCCTTCATCCCCCCTGGAGCTGTGGTTCCTCAAGCCATCGCGACAACCATGGATACCCGCATTATCGCCGAGCCGTGGGGCAGGAACGCGCCACAATACCCAACACACAATCTTAAGGCTACTACAGTCCTGCTCCCTGCCCTATAGCCATGGATTTAGGAAACGATCGAAGACCAGACATCCCAGGATAGGAGAACTGAAGAAGTGGTCGCATCAGAAGTAGGTCTGGTCCTGCCCAGAATAGGTACTGCTCCTGACTGCCTTGCTGAGCTCCCAGGAGAACTGCAAACGGAAAGTTCTTGTCCCCTCAAAACACTCCTCTTCAGCTATCTCTCTTCTCTAACCCAGCCTTGACATTCCCGCCGACCTCCGTCTCCCAGGCAAGCAGGGGCCTGCGAGTTGTCCAGAGGTGGAACGCAGCAGAACAGTGGTAGAGACCCTCCAGTCCAATCTCCCCGTTTGGCCAAAGGGGAACCGAGGTCCCGGATTGGCATACAGGCTCGCTCAAGTCTCAGCAAAAGCCCTGCTGGAGCCCCTCGCCTGGGTCCTCCTGGTGCTCCCCTAGCCTCAGAAGACAGGGGGATGGCGCCAAAGGAACGGAGCCGGCTGGCTTTGCTGCAGTGAGGGCAGCGGGTCCCTGTGATGTCTTGCTTCCAGGAGAGCCAGACCATTCAGGACTTATGCTTTTGCTCTGCTGAGACTTATCTCAGGCTTAGGGTTTTATTTCTGGTCTTGGGCACTTTTTTCCTTTTGGGGCTCAGAAGAAAAAGTTTAAATTCCACCAAGTAGCAGATAAGGAGCTCCCTTTGAAGGGGGTCATATGGTTTCGTTTTGCCCCAAACTCGGAGAGATTATGCAGACCCCCACCACCACCACCACCATCAGGGATTTGCTCTCCAACCACAGAGGCCAGGACTTGATGCCTGAGGTCCGCAGTCTGGGTGATGTCCCTGGTCCCTGGAAGACTCAAGCAGCCCTGTTCCAAATTGAGGCTCAGGGTAGAGAGTAGGGAGAGATGCTCTCTGGGCAAGCACTCACATCTCCTGCTTTCTCTCAGCTTATAGTGCAGCCCTCCATCTCTCCCTGCTTCTCTGGCCTGCCACTTAGCCATGAAGGGAGGGAGAGGTGGCCTCTCAGGCCTTGCCAGCCAAGCAGAGCTCCCCAGGAAAGGATTTATCTGAGTCTATGACCCTCCCTGGGAGACTTAGCCCTAAGAGAGTTTGGTGCTTCTGGTAATTTAGGGTCCTGCACTTGCCCTGTCTCCTGCAGCCTCGGCAATCCCTATTCAGGGATAGGTCTGCAGCCTTCCCTGGCCCTGTGCACCAAGAGTGGGGCTTCCCTTGAATATGCTAAGGTTCAGTGCAGAGGCCATGCCAGGCTTTCAGAGAATGCTAGATAGTTCTAATGGACTATCAATCCTGAGCCTTTTGGGTTCAGGTACCCAAAAGAAAGCAGTCTGTGCATAGTTATTGTGTTTTGCAGGGATGGGTGATTTGCTCACCACACAGTGGCCTATACCTGCTTCCACCAGGCTGGGATCCAAAGGTGTGCAGTCAGTGGCCCCTCGAGCCTCAGACCAGCAACCCTTGCTTTCCAGCCCTATTTGCCTTTTTTCCCCTCTTGCTGTCCATGTTAAGTGTCTGGCTGGACAGAATTAAGATCAAAATTACTTGCATTTCCGCCTGAAATTAGTTAAATTTTCCCTATCTGTCTGCTTTAATGACTTCAATGGAGATTAATAAAATCCAGATGACACACAGCAACCACCACACGGCCTCACCCACGCCCTACCTTTGGAGGGCCCTGTAGAGGATTAAGGTGGAGTACTAGGGCCGCAGGCATTCCTGCACAGACTCTGGGAAATGCTCCCCTCCCCACACAACTAAAATCCTGGACCTCTGGCCCTCCGGGGTCCCCCCCACACCCCACCCCCGCACAACGCAGGCCCCCACACAAGGCACCACCACCCAGATGCAGCCTACTGAGAAGGGCCTCATACCGGGAGACGCCACCAGCCTGTCCACAGTCATTACCTTAGCCTGATACCTGCCTCGTATTCCCCTGGGCCACCGCCAGTGTGTGCCTTCACCCCACGACAATGTAAGCTGCATCCGCCGCCCTGGTCATTACATAGACCCTCTTGGCAAGAACTCCAAAGTCCCCACTCCTGCCCTTTTTTCTTCTCCAAGGGCTCTGGGCCCGAGGCCACTCCACTCCCTTCCTCAAGAAACAAATCTTGGACTCAGCCTTCCTCCTTCAGGGGACCTGCCAGCCAGCAACCAGCAAAGACATCCGCTCAGCCCTCTGGGACCCGGCCCCGCGAGCTGCCGGACTCGCGCCACAGTCCAGGCGCAGCGGGTTCGAGTGCGTTGACCTTGGTGGCGAAGTTTCTTTCTAACACCTGAGGCTGGGACTTGTAGGGCCACGGCCCTGAATGGAATGGAGCATCGCTCCAGGGGGGTGATCTCAGCCCAAGATCGGACGGGATGGTTGGGCGCAGAAGAGGCGTAAAGTACCTTGGGTCGCCTGGTCAACGAAGCCGGTGATTGTGTCCGCGCGGCCGTGGCTCCAGGAGGATGCCTCAGCTGGAGCCCTCCCAGCCAGACTCCGATAAAGCGACATCATGAAGTGGTGCGGTACCACGGAGCCGTTCCTGAAGCCGGGGCCCGCGGCGCGGCGCACAGTACGGGCCCCGGGAGCCGCGGCGGCCTGGACAGCTGAGGCGCCCGCAGCCGGGGCGAGGGTCTGCCCGCCACTGCCGCTGCCGCTGCCGCCGCTGCCCGGGCCCCAGGCCGGCCCTGCCCCCGCTGCTCGCAGCACTGCAGCAGCTTCCAGCCCGTCGCGGGGGCGGCAAGCGCTCAGCAGCCAGAGACACAGCGCAGCGGCGGCGCTCAGGTCCATGGGCTCCGTGGGCCAGCCGGCCGAGCGACTAGGGCTCCGTGGCTCCGGGAAGTCCCCCGGCGCCTTTTGAACATAGTGTTTAATAATGGGGGAAGTGTGCGCAGCAAGCCGCGGCCCCCCTCCTCTTCCACCCCACCCCGCCCAACGCCCGGAGCAGCGCCCCCTGCTGAACACTCCAGTGGCAGCGCTGCGCCCCCCACTCGGGCCTATCGTGGAGTCCAGGGCAGGAGCCTGCCCCCACCCTCGCCAAGTGAGTGTTACGGGCCCCAGGCTCCCGCCACAGCCCAGTGCCCCGCCTCCCCTGCCCACGGCCACGCGACTCGCGTTCGCCACGCCCGCGCTGCGCCCACCGAAAACCAACGCGCCCTCCTTGGTTCGAGGCTCCGGGCGTCGTGCGTACCCGCCCAGCTTGTTCCCCACTCCTCCACGGAGAACCTCCCGCCCCTCCCCGCTCCTATTCCGCGAGTGCCAGGGACTCCAGACTTGGGGCCGAGAAATGGTTGGGTCTCTTCTGTGCTGCTCGCTTGCGCTGCGACCCGTGGTCAATGCAAACAGAAAAGCCACAAGGGCGCGCGGGACAACCACGAAGGCGTTTTCGATCCACGGTTCGGCGGTGCCCTACCCTGCCACAGCTCCCAAAGGATCGGAACGGAAGACTTGAGCAGGGAAGGAGACCTGAAGGGGAAGAAGAGAGGACGAGCGGTAGGAAAGACAGAGCAGAATCAGAGGAATGGACATGGACCAGCCGTCGGAAAGGAAAGGCTTGGGTGCCGAACTTGCACCAAAGCAGGAGCCGAGTTCTTAAAGTTCATAAATTACGGAGGCAACTCAGGGGTGATGAGTGAACCCCAGTGCAGAGTGGCTCTGGGAGCTCGACTGTGCGTCGAAAGTGGGCCGGCGGTCACATTTCTTCAAGTTCAGGCCGCCGGCTAACTGCAACTGGGTACTGGTACGTTTGGACCCGGCCAGAAGCCTGGAAGGCGGGGAGCATAGAGCCCCAAGGTGGCTGGCGCTCTGGTTCTCTTCACTTCCACACTGTGGTTATGGCACCAGCCGGGGATGGGTGGAAGGGGCTTTTGGCCGTGACCAAGCCCTGGGACGCACTGGCGCGGGCGGCAGGACCCTTGAGTCCGCAGCTGGTAGGGGGCGGTCCTGGAGCGGGATCTTACAGAGGAGGGAGATAGATCCTCAGCGAGTTCGTTCAACTCAGACATCTTCCCCTCCCAGCGCGGGAATGTCAGGCGATGGACTAGCCAGCGTTAGGCTGCGCCAGACAAGTCTGTGAAGAAGGTCCTTTTCCTTTAAAATTTATTGCATTTGCTAGGGAACTCGAAATCTAGTCTGGGGTGGCGTGTCATCATTTGGAGGGGATAATAAGGTTCAGCAGAACTCCATCGCATCCAAAGGCAATTGGGTCCAGACACTAGTCCGGCTGTCTGGCACTCTGAACAGACACAGAAGGGTCGCAGTCCAGAAACTCCCGAATCAATTGCAGCCCAGGTTGCACTGCACCGCAGTATCGTCCTAAGCAAAATCTTCAGGCACCATCACAGGGCCACTGCGGGAGCACAGTCTAGGGTTTTGACCTATTCAACACTTGAGGATTTGGGGGGAGCCGATGGGAAAGGCCTGGCAGGGTCAGAACTTGCAGACCCAAACGTGATCAACTGGGGGGAGCAGAAAGGCCTGAGATTAGCATGAGAAGGTCTGAGCCTAGGTCTGCCTTGGACACCAAGAGTCTTCCTGGTGATGCTGGGATGACCAGATTTCATTAGTTCACCTTGCCTTTAGAACCCAGGTTGGAGAGTGAATGAAAGAGCTATGATCACGGGTTTCCCTCTCTTGGTACCAGTACAAAGTAGCCTTAAGATAACTAATGGAGGCTCACTGGCAAAGCCCTCTCCCCACCCATCCACCTGCGGGTGCACATACACACACACTGGCCAATCTTTCTGTCTCTCCCTTAAGGCCAATGCCCTATCCTGCTATCTTGCTCAGCATCCTTTCTGGTCTTTTGGTGTTTCCCAAATCAACTCTACTATAATATGGCAAATGCCTGGAAGCCCTGAGCTGAGGTAAGTGTGTCCTGACTCCAGATCTGGCTTTGACCACTTGAAAGTGATTGAAGTCCCACACCTTGTCTTGGCTTCAGGTTCCCCAACTGCATAAAGGAGAGACATAGAGAGGTCATGGCATGATCTTGGCACAGTGAGTGAAAAATAAATGATTGCTGATTATATGACACTCTTGCCCTAAGACCACTTTGGGTTACTGACTCTTCCTGTGCTCTGTGTGACCAAGCCACTTAGCTTCTTAGAGACTGAATTCCCTCATCCGTGAAATGGGAGGATTTTCACATCTGGAAGTTGTATGAGGCTAGGATAACAGGCTGGCACAAATGATACTCAGTAGCTTTGCCCTTCTCCACCTACTGGGCTTTTTTGAGTGCTCAGCATGACAAAAGCAGAGGAGAAGCAAGTTATACAGTTAACTGGAAGGCTTTGGGAGGTCAGCCAGTGGCTGATGTTCATCACAGTCCACCAGTTGTGTGCTGACCAGGACTTAAGCTCTCTGTAGTACCAGTGCAATCATTCATTCCTTCATTCATTCACCCATCCTCCATTCACTCCTTCTTTCAAGTAAATTCTTATTGCCAGGTTTTCTTCCATGTGTCGTAGATTTGACAATGTGCAGGATAAACTCACGGTGCTCTGGGGTGGACAGAACAGATGATAAACAGCACACAGATGTCCAATATACTGTCAGGTGGTTCAGAGTAATGAGGTGGGAACCAAAGCCTGCAATGGCAAACTGTCTTTGCCCAAGCCTTGGCTTCCACTGACCCAAGGACATGGGACTGTGAAGGTCTTTGGTCTATCAACCCCCTCTCCCAGACCCTGTGGATATGCAGTATTCCTGTCCCCCCCCCCCCCCAGATCTCTAGAAGATTCTTGGCAGAGAGAAAAACTCTTGGGTCCAAGTGAAGATTATCAAAGTTTCTCCCAGGAACTGCTGTTAGCTTGGTGCTCACAATATCTGCCATGAAAACAGTATGTCGAACCAGCTGCAAGGCCTTCCTATGTCCCAGGTGCCCAGATGCCCTGCCCAGGGCTTCCAAGGCCCATGGGTGAGCATCTGTCTGCAGTGAAGATGGTGTGCTAGCTGAGGAGAGAGAAAGGTGAGGTCTCAAGGTCCCTATCCCTCATCCATCCATCCCTTGGCTCCATGACTCCAGGTAGGCAGGTAGGTCCTAATTCCAGCCTGGTCCAAGCTCACTAGGGGTTTCTTCTTGTGGGATGTGAGTAGCCTCTGGTCACTGGCTGGACAGGAGAGAGCTAGCACTCCAGCTGGAGACCTTGAAGCTGTGCTCTGACACAGGGCTTACTGTAAATGGAATTCCTTGTCCTCAGTGTTGCCCCAGCAGATGCTGGAAATCTGTTGATATGGTACAGAGGCAGATGGCAGGAGCAGAGTTTAGAGAAGGCAGGGAAAAGAGAGAGGGTCTCATCTCAGCCTCTGCTCTTTATCCATCCGAAGACCAGCTCCCAAGACCCAACTCTCCAGACTCCAGGTGACATTCGATCCAATAGCGAGAAGAAGGGGGAAGCAACCTGGCTGGAGTTGTTGATTCTTACTCCCAGATCCTACCCTTGGGCAGCACTTTGCTGCCCATCCTTCCCTTGCAGAAGCTACTGGCTCTCTGAACAAGGCCTTGTTCAGTCATAGAATTCCAAGATCAGAAAGAACATTTGGGTGATTTAAACTAACTTCCATGCCAGGCCTGAATCATAACAAATTGTTCCCTGGGCTGTGTTTGCACACATGCAGAGAAGCCTTCCCTTCAGGTAGCTGAATGTGAAGCAACTCCTTATACTCCATCTATGAGAGCCAGATGCTGAAGGACACCTTTACCATGGGGAATTTGCAGGTCATCAGGGATAATGCCACTTGGGAAATTAGTCTTGGATCCTGACAGCTAGAACCATGTTGTCGTCATGACCTTCAGGTACTAGAACTTGAAGCAGCCCCAGCTGCAGCCTGCTCTGCCTTGCATAGGGTCTCCTGCCATACCCAAACACCTGGCTCCCATGTAATGACAAGAAAACTAGGTGTCTCTCGGAGATGATCTGCTTTGCAGCCCACATTGTTTGGAGGAGACGCTGGCTGATGGCTGATGCTCATCACTGCCCACCAGTTACGTGCTGACCAGGACTTAAGCTCTCTCTAGCACCAGAGCAATCATTCATTCATTCATTCATTCATTTACCCATCTCTAGGTTCTCTTCCATGTGTTGTGACCAAGTCCCCAACAAGGGGAAGTAATTAGCAGCTTGTCATCTGACATCATAGCCATCTAGGACTAAGGTCCCTCTGTACTCTTCATTGTGCCCTAGAGGGTCTCATCTCAGCTCTACTCAGCCTCTGCCCTGTCCTCCAGTGGGGTGCTGGGTCCCTGCAGTCACGCACTAACTTGGTACATAAATCTGATGCTCTGGAAAGTTAAGAGACCTGAATTCAAATAGTGCCTGTAAGCTTGGGGTACAAGTCCCTGACCCTTCCTGACTTTATACCTCTAGTCTGTCCAGCGAGGCCTGGCAGTGACAGGTGAAGAGAGTGTGAGGATAGGGTCAGGGTGTGTCCTCTGTCTGCATCCACTATGGCCTTTGGCCTTTCTGGCTTAGCTGGAGAGAGGGTGAGAGGGGAGAAAGGAGGATCCTGGGGTAATTGTCACGGGATGGAGGGAGAAGGAAGACGGCAGCAATAGCCCATAGAGGAACCTGCTCAGCATCTGTTGATTCTCAGCCAGAAAATGATCTGCAAGTCTATCCTCTACAAAGACCTGGGGCAGGAGAGGTGACAAGACTCGCGTTGACTCTGGCTTAGGCCCTGTATAATGCCCAGGGTTGGGCTTCCTCAAGCTTGAGGAATTTCCCATGCTCAACCCATAGTTACCGCTGCCCAGGTTACCCACAGCAACAGCTCTGGCATCCACACCCAGTTTGGGGCAGCCCAGGCCCCAGGCACTAGGCGTGGCCTGCCCTGTGCCCCAGGCCACTGGTGGGGGAGGGGAGGCAACAGAGTAGCTTCTTTCCCAAGAGGCCTTCTCCAGGGATATGGCAGAGCCCTGGGTTTTGGGACAAATAGTGGAAGGCAGGCAGACATTGCCATCTTCCGGTCATAGGCTGTAACAACCCCATGGTGTGACTGAATTCCCTGCCTCTGGAATTTCAAAGACCTGGCCAGTCAGGGAGGAGATTCAGCCAATGGCAAGTTTGATGGCCCACACCTGAAATGCCAGCATGAGGGAACCACAAATTCGAGGTTACCTTGGGCTACGCAGCAATACCCTATCTAAAACAATTAAGCTGTACCATCCTGTCTCCTCTCTAAGTGGGAATAGAGATGCCTACCTAGTAGGGGCATGACAAACAGATACAATAGAGCAAGGACAGTCTTTACCACCGGATCAGACTCACTTAACAGCAGCTTTTATGTCCTGGCAAATTCTAGCTTAACTCTTAGAAGGCTGGCCACTGCCCTTATGGCAGTCCCCTCATGAATATCAGTAGTTTGGATGTTCTGGAGTTATGTCTTCATTAGCTATTCTTGGATACCTTTGTGGTCACATAAGACTAAAGCAAAATTTTTAAAAATTTCAAATAAAATCTGCTGATGCTTTGTGCAATGATTTGGAATATCCGCTCTTCCCATCTTGGTCAAAGAGCCCAGGATTTGTGTTCTAGGCACACAATGATGGGGGGGACAAAGCTATTTTAGCCTGGAAAGGTGGGACTGCATGCAGCTCAGGAGGAGAGTTGGAGGAACCAGGGGTGCCCCCCCCCCGCCGGTGGCAGAAGAGACCTTGCAGTCAACTGGGACCAGAAGGTCTCCTGGTTCCTGTGGCATAGTTATTGAGCAGAGCATCACAGCTGACCAGATGTCACTGGGTTGGAGGAGATGGCTCAGGTCTTCTGGCTCAAGCGGAAAAAGCGTCTGGAAGACCTACTGTCTGGAGGGAATGGCTAAGGCTGCCCTACAGAGGATGGGGACTTGGCCCCATGCCATGGCAATCCCTGTCTGCTCCCCATTTCCTAGACAGCTGACCCACCCTTAAATAATGATGTTAGGATAGTGACCGAACTGCCTTCTGTCCTCCCAGATTTCATTCCTGGCTTGGCTAGAGAGCTCTGGTTCTCTAATCCAAATGCTTCACTTGGTGGCTGGGGTCACAAATCTGGAAGTTAGTAAAAGCCTTGGACAACAGAATCAAAATCCAAAAGTCATCAGTAGGTTACACACTAAAAGAACAATGGGGTGGCACTTTTGCATCTCTCAAGTTAGTAAAACTGAAAAAGGTAAAAACCCATTGGTGATGAGAGGAAGGGCAAAGGGGCACTTCTACACCCCCTCGGCAGGATGGCTTTGGCAGATCTTCCAGGAGCAGTTCCTTTGGCCTGGCACTTCAACTCATAGAAATTTATTTTATAGATACACTTGCAAAAGTGGAGATAAATATGGAAGGACCTTTAAAAACATCTTGAGGTATAACAGTAAAACCTGGAAATGACCTATGGCCTTAAATACACTAAGGCCAAAATAAACTATGATCCGCCCTCATAGGGAATTGCTGCTCCTCATCCGGGGTTTAGGTTAGCTTTGTGTGCACAGTATGGGAAGATACCCAAATACAGGATGTACAGAGGAGAGGGTGAAGAAGAGAGAGGTTCTCAGTCATCTACTCCAAAATAAAGCCACACACATGTCTGTTGTATGCCTATCACTGTCCTATCCCTCTCTCTTCTTTCTGCTCTGACTCATATTTTTACATGATAGAATAATAAATCTGCCTTGGAGATCTTCATGATGCAATATCAAAATAAACAAATTCCTCTCGTATATCATTGGAAACAGAATTGACAAACCCCAAGAACAAATCAGAAGCAAATAATGTCAAGTGAAAATATTTAGAATATATACTAATGATGACAACCTCAGTGAAGGGAAAGGATAGATTATCCAGTAAAAGCTACCCGTAAGTGTTAACAGATACTTCATTAAGTTTTGTTTTGCTTTGTTTCATCATGCGAGAGAGACAGTGTCTTACTATGTAGCCCAAGGGTGTCCTCAAACTCATAGTCTTCCTGCTCAGCCTCAGAAATGCTGGGATTACAGGTGTGTGCCACCATGCCTGGCTATTTCTTTAAATATTTATGGGGGGATAGGCATTCTGTGAACCCCACTGGGCAAGCCCCTTAGGTCTGGCAAAGTAAGGAGCCCTAAGCTTCATCATGGGTATTCGCTGAGTGAACAAATAAGGTGGTAGCCCTGTCTCTGGAGCTCTCAAGCACCACATCAGGGGACAGAGGCAAATCAGCAGGTGACAGAAGAACCACCACACTGGAAACAAGGGAAATGTTGGTGCATGGCATGACCGGAGCTCAGATTGCACCCCCTCACTTACAGGCTATGGACCACACTGCTGCAGAGGCCAGCGCCTTCCTCTGGTGGAGATGAGCCCTGAGCATTCCTTTGTTCCCAGGGCTGTGGGGAAGGGAGGAAGAGAAAATCCTTTGCAATGTGGTTTGTGTTACCACAGCTTCAGCCATGGAAAGGGCTCCCTGAGTCAAGCAGGAAGCAGAAAATATCAGATTTAGATCCCACATTCCATGCATTGTATACAATTATACACTAGAGCCACACTGGGGCACGTGGGACCCACAGAGGCAGAAAATGGGATTGCTATCAGAATGGGGTCACTTTCACGGGAAGCTGGTTCTCCTCTTGGCAAGTACCAGGTGTGCCGAGGCTCCTGGGTGCACACTTGGCAACCCCAGGCCAGGGTGAGGCCCCGCTCATTGGCTCACAAGGCAGTGGTGACAGGTATGCTATCAGCTCCAGCACTGATAGAAGTCCCCTGTGCATCCCCCATCTCTGCTTTCCTAGACCCTCCCAAGCTCTCTCCATGAGCTGTCACCAGGGGGCTGAACTTCAGCATCAACAGCCTCCTTTCTACCCAGGACCCCACCTCAGCATCTCCAGCCATGAGATCCAGAGCTACAGATCCAATCTCCTCCATGTCCCCAGAACCTCAAAAATCACTTCTTCCACAAAAACTGTGATCCTCCTCCAAGCGCCCTGCCATAGAGAAAAACACCACTGCTCAGCCACTCACAAGGGCCAAACTGTGACAGTATCTTAACTCTGTGGCCTGTATTCATTTAATTTGCCAATACTTAGGTCTCTCTCACATCTGTCCTGTTTTCCACCTGGGCAGCCAGCACCCTAGCTCCTGCCACCATCATCCCCAGTCTGGATTATTCTGAATTTCTGTTCACTCCATCTTCTTAGCCCCACATGCTCCAAACCACCAGTCACAGCTTAGCTGGCCCGGCCACTCCTATGTCCATAGCCCTCTGATGGCCTTAGTCAGCCACAGGGTCAGTGCAAAGCTCTAAGCTTGGAGCACTAGCACTCACTCCATGCCTTGGCTCCCACTTGCCTCTTCCTCTTATTCCCTAAATTCTTTCTTATCTCGGAGGCTTTGCACACAATACTTCTCCTTCTCTAGTTCCTTCAGGACCTTGCTCCTTTACAAAGTCCTCTCTGACCCACCCCCTTCTCCAGTATAAGGGCAAAGAAGTCCACTGAAAAGTCCTCCATTACTGTTCATCTTGTCTATAAAGAAATAGAAAGCAAAGGCCTTATAAGCATTCATTCATTCAAGGGACACATTGGAATGACGTTTCTCTAATTGTTTCACTGTGGGATTTCATCACTAAAGTATATGTAATAATGATGTTGACAATGATGGCGATAGTTGGTAAGCCTAGGAATGCAGCCGATGTCACCCTATTGTGAATTCTGGGGTGGCCTAGCTTCTGCACTTGTCTTAGAGAAAACAACAGGATAGGGGCAGTGGTTTGCACCTGTCTCTGGTCATCCTTGCAGACTCAGATTTTCTCTTCCTGGGCCACCTTGGCAGGTGACACGACCTCTCTGCTTCTCATCCCATGGAGAAGTGAGTCTACTCCATCTCCATGGAGAGCCGGATCTACTACATCTCGCAGGCCTCTATATCTGAACAGCCTTCTGAGGAAAACTGGACCAGGGACCTCATTGCCCTGACTCCAGTTGAGGGAAACTTCAGAAGCAGGCCAGGCCAGGGGCCTGCGCCAAAGCTCTGTCAACAACTAAGTGCGGCCCTCTCTGGTGCAGGGTGCCTGCCGGGTACAGTCGGGGATGGGGGGAAGGTGCGGGCAGTAGTAGCAGGAAAGAGAAGCTGGGCTGATATGTTCACTCTGCAGCCCCCAGGGCGGGCGGGACAGAGTTGCAACTTAGAGTTTTGTCCACTGATTGAACGAATGAATAAATGCAAAGGCCATGATAGAAGAGGGAGAGTATTTTGCACGAGGTTTTCGGTCCCTTTAAAGGCTAAGCCTTAGAGACAGGCCAATTAGATGTCATCACGTGCCAGGCCCCTGGACTGCTTGTTGCAGGGCGCAGAGCAGCGGCGTAAGTCACTGCCCAACCGAGGCCACAGAGGCCCCGACGTGCAGTGCGTCCGCGGCCGCCAGGGGGCTGGACGAGGGCGGCGCCTCGCCCCGAGCGCGGCGAGGCGGAGACGCGGCGACGCTGGCGACGCCTGGTCCCGTGACCGCGAACCCGCCCGCAGCTGCGGCCGCAGACATGCAGTCCCCGGCGGTGCTCGTCACCTCCAGGTGAGCCAGCTCCCCGCCCCGCGCGTCCCCAGTATCTCAGAGCTCTCGGCGGTTTATCCGGCTGGGCCCCGCCGTGTTGCGGGGGAGGTGGCGCGCCATCGAGAGTTCCCGTTCTACAGACGAGGAAACTGAGGCCCCGTAGAGAATGAAGAACTCACCTAAGACCCAGCAGAAGGCCTGGGACTGGCCTTCCCGGCCGAGTTGGGGTCATTTCTTTCGGCCGGAAAAATGCAGCCCCTGTCCTATCAGCGCCCACTGTGTGTATGCCAGGCAGATGCCAGGCACCCGGATTGGGGTCCGGATCTGACCAGCTCAGCCCTGCAGGGCAGACCTGCGGTGCTAGGAGGCGGGCAGTAAGTACCGGTTGCAATGGGAACACAGAGCAGGAGTGCAGACGCTATCCAGGTGGGTGGGGAGGGACAGCTGGCCAAGGAAAGGACAGAGCGCAGAAGTAAAAGCAAGGACCTCCTTGGAGAGGTGGAGGTCTGGGTGAGGAGGCAGTGTGCGACCACCCTGGGCCAGGCCTGGAGGACCCAGCCAAGATGAAACCTGGAAAAGCTAGGAGGGACCTGGTTTTACTTTTTCCCGCCTTTTAAATAGTTCTAAAGAGATGTGCTTCACCCAACTCAAATGTTAGTCTTCCAGCTGTCATCAGAACTTCCTGAGATTTCCAGTCTTGAAAATTATGATTCTTTACTTAAACTCTGCTGTTATGACCTGCTTGGTCTCCTGCTGCAGGCCCTATCTGCAATGGCAAGGTTTCCCAATAGCCACTTCTCTCACTGAGCTTGTTTCCTTTTCTGCAAATAGAGGTTTGAAATTGGTAAGTATGAGCACATCAGCAGTGGACATGCAGGCTGTGACTGGTGCTAGGTGCTTGGGATGAGGGGTGAGTGGTTCCCTCTAGTGTCAACCTGCACATACACGGTAACTGGCACCAGTGCTACTAGTGGTGAGGGCTGAGGAAGTCCCTCTTGCTCATTCCTTCATGTTTAACAGGAGCCACCAGCTCCAGGAGCATACCTGCAAGGAATGAATATCCCTGTACCATAGCCCAGCAGTGAAAGTGGCCTTGCAAGTCAGGGATTTGTGTTTCCTGCCCAACGTCCTCCTGCATGAATCTCCACAGACCCCATGCATCCATTCAGCCGGTCTCTTCTGTGCCAGGTACTGGGCCAGGTTCTAGGATACAATGGTGAACAAAAATGAGGTACTACATGGAGTATTAGCTGGAGCAGTGGACAGCAGGCCAATACTGAATAGGTCAGGCAGGAATGGTAAACACCTAAGAACGATACTGAAGTGATGGGGGAAGTTGAGTAACAGGAGTGCTGTTTTATACGTGTGGTCAAAGGCATCTGTCTGATAGACTGGCAGCAGGACAGGTCCATGATAAGCTCTCTAAGGAAAAAAGCCATGAAAAAAGAAATCCTGAAAAAGTATGTCGTTGGCAGAAAGGATAGCAGGAGCCAATTCCTGAGGCCAGTGTGACTGGAGTGGAGGGAGCCAGGAAGAGTGTTAGGTGACATTGGGAGCAGGGGACAAATCAGGCAATGGGAACCCATAAGCAGAGTGGCCTTGTGAACCAGCCTGGTTTACAGAGACTTTGTGGCTGCTGTGCCCATCCACATCGAGCAGAGCATTACACAGGTGCTCACAGGAATTCTCGTGGAGCTCATGGTGGCTGGGCTCAGGGTGATAGGGTAGAGGGGATGGGGAAGGTTTAGACTTTGGATGTGTTAGGAAGATGGAGCTTTCAAGGTTGTTGATGGTGAAGTGTGGGATGTGGGAACAAGGAGTTCAGACAGCCGAAGGGCCTCTGTCCTAGGATCCTGAGAGGAGAGCTGGCTGCTCAGTGGGTTGGTGAGACTGCAGGTTTGTAGACAGAGTGGAATCAACATTTGTCTAAAACAAGTCATTTTAAGGAGCAGTTGACAGTCAAGTTAGAGATGAGGTAGGCCACTAGAAGGGGATAAAATGAGAAGAGAATCTGGACTTCAGGTAGGAATTGGGGTGCCATTGGCCTGGAGTGGTATTCAAGGCCTTGAACCTGGGGAAGATCACCTGAGGACCACAAGAGGAAGAAGGTCTAGGTAGGACACTGTGGGGAAGGTCAGGGGTAACCATGCAAATGAAGTGAGAACTCACCTTTGGACTTAACATCACAGAGGTCCTGAGTGAACTGTGCTAGGGTGGTTCAGTTGCATCATGAGGACAACAGTCTAGTTGGAGTGGGTTCAGAGCCAAAGAGGAGGGCAGGGACTGGAGATGTGACTATAGGCCACACTTAAGTCCTGCTGGAAAGTGGAAGAGAGAGAGCAAGAGGAAAGTCCATCAAAGGACAGCTTTTGTTATAGGACAAGTAGGAGTATGATTGCCTGTTGATGAGAATGGGCCAGAAAGGAGGGAGCATTGATGGTGCAAAAAAGAGAAGGGAGAAGTACATAGTGATGTCCCTGAGCAGGTGCAGGGCCAGGATCCCCTGGCCTTCAGAGGAGCCCAAAAGGTAGCAATGGACAAGGCTGAGTGGCACATTAGTGGATATGCCAGGAAAGTGCAGGTTGTCCCAATTGCATCATTGCCTCAGTGAAATGGGAAGCAGGGTCTTCCAGGGAGAGCAGAGGTGGGGGTTTTCTGAGAGAGGGAATTTGGGTCTATGTCTTGCTACTCAAGGGCTGGTCCCTGAAGCGGACAGAGCAGCAAGAGTATCAGCTGGAGCACCTCCACCCCCCAGAATCAGGACTCCAAGAGGATTTGTAGGCACTGTACAGCTTGAGTAGCTTGGACCAGGCCATAGGTGGGCAAACTGCACCAGTGGGCCAAGTCCTGCCTCCCCCACCTCCACCCCACACACTGCTTTAATGACTCCCCCTGTGGAACCCCCATCTGGATTGGTGTTGTCTACAACTCCTTGTCTTTTGTGCTTTGATGGCAGAGTTGAGCAGTTGCAACTACATCCAATGGCCTGCAAAGCCAGAAATAGTTCCTCTCCGGTCCTTCACAGAACAAGTTTTCCTAGCAGCATAGGGAAATAAAGAGCATGTGAATTCTGCAGGAGACTCGCAGGGCTTGTTGACAGAAAGATGGCTGGGCTACCCTAGCCTTCTGGTTCAGTGGCTGTGTGTGTTTTTCTTACAAGTTCCCAAGTGACACTGGATACTGGTCCAGGAACCATACTTTGAGAACCCCAAGTCTGGGGCAAGGTAGTGTCACCAGGCCCACTGCTTCATCCTAAAGTTAGTGGCCAGGAGCTTCAGGTGGGACCAGGTGGCATGTTCGTGCCTGGGTCCAGGGGCTAAGGAGGCAGGAAACTGGAAAAGTGGACTTTTTCTAGGCCAGTTTAGCACCAGGCAAGAGGTCAGGAGGCTGGAAAAATGCAGCCCCTGTCCTATCAGCGCCCACTGTGTGTATGCCAGGCAGATGCCAGGCACCCGGATTGGGGTCCGGATCTGACCAGCTCAGCCCTGCAGGGCAGACCTGCGGTGCTAGGAGGCGGGCAGTAAGTACCGGTTGCAATGGGAACACAGAGCAGGAGTGCAGACGCTATCCAGGTGGGTGGGGAGGGACAGCTGGCCAAGGAAAGGACAGAGCGCAGAAGTAAAAGCAAGGACCTCCTTGGAGAGAGCGGAATGGATGTACAAGGTAGCAAACGTGCTGCTTCTGTTGGCTGAAGTCAAGAGAACAGGTCTGAGGGGCATGTCGAGTGTGCAGTGTCTGCCCAGTGGATGGATACTGGAAGCTCACGCTGAGGACAAGGTCAAGCCAAAGACAAAGGTTTGGAGACACCAGCTTGGAGGTAGTGTCAAAAGTCTGGGAGTGAGTGAAGCTACACAGAGAACAGATGTGGAGGGTGAGGGAAGGGCTGAAGAGAAAATCCTGGGGACACCAGCAGGTCAGGGCCAGATGAGGAGAAGGAAAAGAACTGGCCATCTTGGCATCACAGGAGCTAAGGGAGCAGAGTTTCAAGAAAGGGTGATATCACACATTTGTTTATTATCTACCCTTTGGCCTCTTATAAAAAGGGTCTGGACCTGGTGACCAAGAAAGACAGGCTACAGGATTTTTAGGAAAAGGGAAAATGAGCTAGAGCCTTGCAGTACATAAGGGAACATTCTGCAGCTCACACGCAGGTTGATTCTGAATTTCCTGGCAGCCAAGGTAAAAAGGGAGACAATCGCATAGCTCTGGTGACCTGTGAAAGGAGACCAAAAGAGAAATATGTGGCACTAACCTGTTTTTAAGGGCACTGAACCACATCATGAGGACAGCCAAAAGCAGCAGTGCTGTTTTTTGTTTGCTCGCTCCTTAGAGCAACTCTTGGTGTTATCCTAGGTGGACGGCGAGCTGGTGGTTCTGGGTGTGCATTGTTCTGAGTGTGGCTGAGCTCTGCAGGGACATTTGCAGTTTCTGGTGATTTGAGTTGACCCAGGATGAAGCTCAGTGCACCCATGTCTTCAGAGCCAGGAGCAGAAAAGGAGAGCATGTGAGATTGTGGCTTCTGGGCCTGGGAGAAAGGCAGCATTCTGAGGGCCTTCAGAAAGCACTCAGTCCTGTGCAAAGGTCCAGAATTACCTGTGGGGCCTATGAGGGGATGTCCATAACATCTCCATACACCATACCTGTGCCATGCTGTCTTAACAGTGATGCCTCGCCTGTGGAGTGCGAGCACATACGTGCGCATAAGTGTGTGTGCACAGGTGTTTCTCGGGCATTTTGAAATACCTGCGAGAGCAAAGGAGAACTCATTTATTCCCGTGGGATCTGGGGCTGCAGCCCAAAGTTGCACATCGCCAGCAGTCTTCCGAGTTTCATGATCAGCTAAAAGATTTCATGAGCATTTTGCATCAACTTCTTAAAGGATGCATACTTTTTAGGAGCCTGGTAGAGTACATCTGGGGTCCCAGCTACTCAGGAAGCAGACTTCAGATGACTGAAGTCCAAGGCTAGCCAGACAAAAGTGTGAGGTCCTATCTGAAAAGCAAATACAAGGCAAAAGGGCTGGGGTGTGGCTTAAGTGTTAGAGCACTTGCCTGGGCAGTACAAGACCCTGAGACAGTCCTCAGTACTGAAATGAAAAGAAAGAAAGAACAACAACAACGAAAAGCCACTTACTCTTCAACACAAACATGCACTTAATTGCTAACCCTGGAGCAAAGCTGGCCTCCAGGAGGAGACGCTGTATATGAGTTTAGCAGATACCCTGTGTGTACTCACAGCACAGGTGTACACACCCATTAGAAGTCCGTGGAGCATTACTATCTGCCCAGTGCTCAGCAGTGCCTGACACATAGAGGGCACCAGGTAATTGTGAGTCCCCACCTCAGCTCCCTGTTGCCGTTGTTGCTGGTGCAGGTGCTCCCTGATGTCCTAGCAGTGACACAAATGGATGGCATGGGAGCCAGGCTTAGAGCTCTCTGCCTCTCATGCTGCCCTCTTGGTGAGTCTTTTCCCACCTGCATGTAGCAGTCTAGCCAGCAGAGGGCGCTTGGCCTGCTTGCCTGCCTGGCTGGAGTTGCCAGTTGCTCCTAACATCTCAGGGGAGATCCTGTGTAAAGACACTGTGGGAAAGGATCCCCTTGCCTTTCCTTGGCTCTGCTCAGGAAGCTCCAGAGTTAGGATTTTGTGCTCAGCTGTGGATAGCAGCACCCTGTCCCAAACCACTCCCCATTTCTGGGTTTTCTGAAACCCCCAGCCACCTACTGGTGTCTAGAACTCGTGAGCTGTAGGGGCTGGGTGATGATGCTGGTTAGCCAGGTGTGGGGGGTCCTCCAGGCCTCCCTAGCCTGAGTGTCTGGGGATGCCTCAGTCCAACTGCACTCCAGCATGTCAGAGATGATTCAGAGGGGGCAGGCTGGGCCTGGGGATGCTAGTAACCCATGCTTCACCCTCAGTGCTGCTACAGACTCATCAGGAACATGGATTCAGCCTCCAGGGAAGCACCAGGAGTCCAGGTCCAAGGGGACTCGGACTGTTGGTGGAGACTGTGACCCAGGGGAGGTGACTGTTCTCTGACCCTATATGAGTTACACAGACCACAGTAGTTGTGCCAGAAACCATCGTATTGTGACTGCTTGCCCAAAATGAGCTGGGCATCCTACACAGAGCAAATGTGCAGCAAGAGCACAGTAAGTGAATGAGCAAATGCTTGTTGCTTAGGGGTTGTGGAGATGGCCAAGGAGGAGGAGGAGAGGGCCAGCCTGTGGCCCTGCAGGAGGGCAACACTGCCCTGGAGGACTCAGGTGACTTAGAACCATTTTACAGCAGCAGCAGAAGCCCTGTCTGGCTTCACCCAAACTCCTGTGGGCTGAGGGTCCTGACAGCAATCAGAGAACCAGCTTCACCCAAACTCCTGTGGGCTGAGGGCCCTGACAGCAATCAGAGAACCAGCTGTGGCCATGCTTGCATCTACTGCATGGCAGGACTGGCCCTCAAAAGACCATGACTGGTTCATGGGAGAGAGTGATAAGAGATCTGTACTAAGACAAGAGAACTCACGGTGTTGCTGGAAGATGATATCACAGCTGAGCAGGTGCTGAGATCACCCTGCTAATGCACAGAAAACCCGGAAGGGAGGAAGGAGCTGTGTTCATCTGCAGGCCAGGCAGGGGATCCTGGATCAAATGTCTTTACCTGGACCTTTAGCAGAGCCTAGAATTGCTCCATTATTATATCTTCCATTGGGCCTATGAACAAGAGTCTGAGGCAGGGAGGCAGGCGATGTGGCAACAGGCCGACACCAGGCACACATCTGGTTGTTCACTCAGGAAACCATGTTCTCCTCTCATTCCAGGTCTCCAAAAAGTATAGCGAGATCGAGGAGTTTTACCAGAAGCTGAGCAGTCGCTACACAGCAGCCAGCCTGCCCCCGCTGCCCAGGAAGGTTCTGTTTGTTGGAGAATCTGACATCCGGGAAAGAAGAGCCATGTTTAATGAGATTCTACGCTGTATTTCCAAGGATGCCCAGTTGGCAGGCAGCCCAGAGCTGCTAGAATTCTTAGGTACCTGAGGCTCTGTCTCACATCCCTGAGGTCTCCCTGGCCTAGGACCTGCCTTACTGCCCTGGCTCAGCGGGAGTAAGTCCACTGCTCCTTCCCACACTTGGGAAGTTTAGGCCAGTCTATTGAGGGAGGTGGGCCTCACTGACATCCTTGGGCAGGAAGAGACCCAGTCCTGAAGGAACTGACCATTGGGATGCCAGATGGGCTCATTCAGGGCAGTCTCTATAGTATGACTCCACCCAGGTCTTCCCGGCCAGCCCCCAACCTAGAGCTCCCTCCACTCACACACTCATGCATGCCAGCCAGGCCTGGAGGCATGACACCCAGTGAAAGCTGTGCTTGTACAGCTAGCCCAGTGTCCTGGTCTCAGGATACCTCTCTTCCAGAGTCATGGATGTGAACCCAGGGCCTCAGTGTCCTGGCCCCTCTCTTTCTTCAGATTTCTCATCTGTAAAGTGGGAAAGTAATTAGCTGATTGGCAATCATGATTGTATGAACTCATCCACGTGAAGTTCCTGGAACCGCCCACCTCACAGGAAATAGTGGCTAAAATGACTCCCCTACCCCAGCACACCCTGCCTGCTCCCAACCCTCAGAGCAGCATCCACCGTGTTCTCCTGGAGGAAGAGACAAGCCCCCGCTGGTGGTGATGGTCTCCCCCTGACAAGTCTATGATTGAACATGAATGCTTTTCTGACTTCTTTGCATCTCCCAGTTCCATGAGGGAAGGACATTTCTCAAACAGCAAATTAACTAATTTTTAAAAAGTGATGGTTAGGAAATGAAGCAAAACCAGCAGATGCACAGAAGGACTGGGCAGGACACCTTGCAGGAGCCAGGTTCCCTATACCCATTTCTGTGACCTGCACAAGGGTCTGGGGTCTCTTCTGTCCATTTGCTACAATGGACAGAGAGCTATGGCTCTTCTGCTCTGCCTGTCTCCAGGGCTGTGTGCACAGTGATAAGGGGGCATGCATAGCTGGAAGAAAGGCTCAGGATATCCTTGTCCCTCTGTCACGGAGAGGGGAACAGAGTGGTCCTACTTCTCTAGCCACTCTGCCCCAGTTTTCTCATCTGTAAAATGGACACACAATTGTAATTTTGTTCATAGGGTCTTCTGATATTTAAATGTAAGGTGCTTACATGAGACTGAAGGGTCACGAGATTTTGAATGCCATCTTGACCTTTGAATAAAAAAAACCAGCCTAACATTATGCAATATAATTGTTATCACTCAGTACATCCTGTATGAGAACTAATGAACACTTTCTAGAGCCAGACATGGTGGTGCACAGCTATAATCGTGGCTACTCAGGAGGCACAGTTAGGAGGATCATGCTTTGAGGTTGGCCTGGGCAAAAGCATAAGACCCTATCTAAAAAACAAACTAAAAGCAGAAAGGACTGGTGTGTGGCTTGAGTGGTAGAGCGCATCCCTCATAAGGAAGTCAATCCCTAGTGCTACCTAAAGAAAAGGAGGACACTTTTTTAACCTAAAGGGTGATGTTTTTTTCTTAGCATGTAATATAATCATGCAGAAGGACAATTACATATGTGCTTACAATGTATCTTAATCAGACTCACCCCCTCCATAATTCTCCCTCATTGCCCCCCTTCCAAGAACAACTTTAACAAGTTTCATTGTTCTATATTCATACAGGAGTACAAAATACATCCACCACATTTGCCCTCCTCAGGGTGATTTTTTTTTTAAGTGAATGCTTTGAAATATAAACTCCCAAATCACTACTTACATAGAGATGAACAAGTAGTCCAAACCCACGCTCCTCAAACTGTCCATGGGGGGGACTAGCTTTTTATTCCCAGCCTGCCACAGACAGATAATTTCACAAAGATCGAATGCTCAGATGCTATGATGATGCCATACTGCTGCGGAAGTTTCTGGATGCTAGTTCTCCCTTTCTGAACTTACCTCATCCTGGATACCTGCCACCAGGTGGTCACAGTTTGTTCTGCCTCCCCCCACCCAGACTCACCATCTTAGCTGGGGCAGAGTGGTGCCAGGAAGCTGCAGGGAGCCCTTGGCCTCAGATCCTGGCATGGAAGGGTGTGGTGAGGTGCCTCCTGCACCTCAGAGGTGGGTACCAAGCCCCTTCTTTTCCGTCTTCCTCCACAGGCACCAGATCCCCAGGAGCTGCGAGTCTTGCCAGCAGAGATTCCTCCATTCTGGATGGCACAGACAGGGACAGGGATGAGGAGGAGGCCTTTGACTTCTTTGAGCAGCAGGACCAAGTGGCAAATGAGGGTCTGCCTGTGCTGGGCCCGAAGGGCAAGGATGCAGAGAAGTTCTTGGAGGAAGAGGAGGAGGAGGAAGAGGAAGCTTTGGATCCTCTGGGTATCATGTGGTAGGTGTCCTGATGTCCACAGGACCCTTTTCTGGCTTGTTCCAGGTTTTCTGGAAACAGCTTCTGCCTCCCTCGCTCCTTAGAGTTTTGAGAAGGCTGCGTCCTGGGCCCCCACTTAGGGTCTGGGTCATGGGGCCTCAGCCTGATGTGCTCAAGGGGACTCTGCTCAATCTCAGTGTCATCCATATCTTTGGGGCTGGGATCAGCTAGCCCTTGCCTTTCCCTGGTCACAGGGTGTCCCTACCCCTGGCTCTGTACTGAGGCCTGGCAGAGTTGTCCCCACTCACTTCAAGTAGCCCATGCTGACGGACCCAGCTGACTGGCACCAGAGGTTGGGCTCTTCTTCCAGCCAAGTGCCTGGTGCTGTGACTGTACCTCCCTGGACTGCCTCACCGTCTGGCACGGGGACAATTGAAGGCCTCTATGAATCATGTAAGTAGAGGGGACTGTGACCCACAGGTCCTGACTGCATGTGATACAGAGAGGTAGCATGAGCAGGGATGCCATGGCCAGTGGCCAGTGTCCCCCTCACAGGCACACACACCCCGTAACTACAGATAAAAGACAGGTAACCAGGTGTCTCTTTGCCTTTCCTGGCCTTCTGACTGCCTTCAGCCAATCAGTGAGCTGCTCCTGGGTCCCTACTGCATGGACCATCCTGTGCTGGGGTGGGGGAAGGAGGCACAGGCTGGATAAGGGGATTGGAGAGCCACGTGTCTTCTTCCAGGCTCCCTCTGATAGACACAGGCTGAGAAGTTTGTCAGGATGTCCCAACCAGAAGGTAGTGACTTCCCTAATGGGAACCAGGCCATTCAGCCACCCCTAGGACCCTCATTCTTTCATCTTCCTCCACCCAACAAGGAGTTAATGTTTTCTGGGCACCTTCAATGTGCTGGGCGTTGTACATTATACTCTACATACCCCATCTCATTAGTCCCCTGCCTTATAATCAGCTATTAGCCCATTGTGCAGATTAAAGCAACTGAAACGTGCAGAGACCACATGCCAGCCCAAGGTCAGACAGCTGGTAAAGGATGATACTGGGGTTGGAACTGAGGTTGAGACCCTGGACTTCTGGGGCTTGAATCCTGGCTGTGCCATTCACCAGTCATGTGTCCTTGGTCACTTTACCTCTTTCTTTGGTTTTCCTCAGTGAAAACAGGCTCTTGATGGTACCTCTTAGGTCTCTTGGAAGATTAACTGAGTTGCATAAATGTTAGCATTAGCTGTCACCACGGTCCCCTCTTCCTATGGAATCAGACCATGGACCAGGTTGCCCTTCTCCCTTCCCATGACCAGTGGGTTTAAGGAAGACTTCAGTCTATAGTCTGAAGACCTCAGTCTGTAGAAGAAGAGGCCTGCCTTGTGAGACCTGCTCCAGAAACTAGAGTCTATGAGGAATCAGGCAAAGACAGATTCAACTTAAATGACATGCAGAATGAGGTTCTAAAAGTACAGCGGCTCTGCATGGGCCGTCCTGCCTAAGTGGGGTATATGGGTGGGGGCAGCAGGGCTATAGACCAGTGTAGAGGAGATAAGGATTCCCACTGAGAAAAGGTGGCCAGGGTTTAGGGAAACACAGTAGATTCAGGGAAGTCCATCTCTCAGCAGCCCTTCAGCCAACCTTGTCCTGGAAAGGGGTCAAGGCCACAGGTGAGACAATGGGAGATAGTGGGGGACAGGGAGAAGCCTATAATAAATAGCTAGCTCCATGCCAGCCTTGTCAAGCCTGGGCTCTGCTTGGGCTTATTTTGGTAAGGAGAAGGTGTTGTTTGAACTCATGCTCTGTCGGTTCTGAGTAACCACATGGAGTGCCAAGCTGAAACGGACTTCAGTAATGTGCGCCAGCCTTTGGCTGAAGGGCACACTTAGCAAAGCAGCTCCTTTTTTGGGTAGGAAAATGCTCTTTGGGGTTGTCAGGTTTTGCCTTGACTTTTCCACTTATTCCAGTAGCAAGAGTGTCGGGAGGACATGGCAGCAGGCCTGGGACCCCCTGCCCTCAACTCTCTATTCTGGCTCTTGAATCCTAGAAAAACTCAGTACCTAAGAAGAACCCCCCTCTCCTGCCAGATTTTTCCTTTAAGGACTCGTGACAGCAGCTGATACTGTCAGCTGTGTCAGGAATAATAAGTAATATTTTTCACGAGCTTTTTAAATGTCAGGGACTGAGCTAATTAGCATTTGCTTACCTTTAAGACAGCACTTCTGAAACTGTTTTGCTATGACCCACAACAAAAATTATATTGTATGTCATGATCCAGAACACGTGTATACAAATTTCATAGGAAACTGGAACAAATTTCAAGAACACATGGGAAAACTTACGATGTGTACTGTACTCTGACATTTCTGGTCCTGTTTCATTTTGTGAAAAGATAATGATGCACCAGACTTATTTCCTGGCCCATTGTGGGCACAGGGTGGGAAGTGGAGAGCTAGGAGGCTGACAGCTGGCATTGGCTTTGTTTTGTATATTAGGAAACTGAGGTCCAGAGTTGGGTTGCTCGTCCTCATTCATGTAGCCTGCAGATGGCAGAGCCAGCCCAGGAGGCCACTTCTGACCCGCTCTTTCGGCAATGTGGGAGGTGGGCAGAGCCCTAAGATTGTTCCCTTTTCGCTGAAGGATACAGCTGAGCAGGGGCTTGGCCTTGGTGTGGGACAGAGCCAAACCTTGAGGTCAGGTTCACCCCTCAGCCTCCCATGGACACCCAGGCAGTCTTGCACAAGGTTGCCCACCTCTCCCATTGTTGGGGACATCCTCTTCTTCACAGGCAGCTCATGTTCTGTGTTCCTCAGTTCATTTGCTCACACAGCAGCCCTGACTCTCAAGCTCCCATCCTGGCCTGGCTTTGGACCTCCTAGAGCAGTCACCATTTCCGTGCTCCAGGCCCCAGGTCTTCCCTGCTGTGTACACCGGGGGGCAGTGTGGCTCCACTGCAGAGCTGCCTGCATGGGTGGGAGTGGTAGGCACAAAGCTGGAGCCCAACTGGCCTGGCTTTTCTTTGTCTTTTCGGCCTGCCCCTGATTAGGGAAAAGCCATATTATTACACCATTACAGAGCACAGAAAGACAGAAGAGCCCCACACCACACCAGCCCATCCCAGCCCTGCACCTTCCCTTATTCTGGGGGGTTGTTCTCTGACCCTGCCCCAGTGCTGTGTGCATAACTGCAGACGTGGTGCACGTGTGGTTTTACATTGCCACCTTTTCACTCCCTGCTCTCTCTTCATGGCCAATCTCTGTTTTCATATTTAACTCTGTCTTCGTGGTCTGAGAAAATTGAAGTTCTGCCTTCTGCTGCAAACAGTCTGCTAGAAACATTTATCATTGGAACTCAAATAATACACAACTAGTAGAGAGCATTAGAAAACATGGGTGAAAGTCCTTTCGCCAAAAATGCAAATACTTTCGAATCTTCATGTCTTACTACCCAATGGGATTGTGCTGTGTGTGCTATTCGTAATTTGGTTTTTTCAGTTTATGCGATTTTTCCAGATCAAAAAATCCGTCTCTCCAGTCATGCTCTGCCAGTCTCTCAGGTTGATGCGCTGAGAGTGGCACTGCCAGGCCCCTGCTTGTGGACATTGTCCTGTTGTCATAGGCTGTCACAGGCAACAACTTGAGCACATGTACAGAACTTGCATTCTGTTGAGTTTCCCTCCAGTACAGGTCCCAGAGTGAGGTCCCCGAAGCTTCTGCTGGGGATTGTGGTGGGGGCTCAAGTAAAGACTGCTTCAGGGCTATGCAGCCCTGCTAGAGGCCCCTCTCCTTCTTCAAGTCCTACCCACTTCCTCCCCAGCCTGCATCCCAGTCCCAGGGAGCCCCTGTGCAGGCTCCAGGTCCCTGAGGACTCAGCTTCCCTCAGGACAGCTGGCTCCTGTGCCTGCGTGTCTGTTAGGCTGACATCCCATGGGGAGTCCCGTGCTGTGGCCTCAACTGGTGAAGCTGTACATCTTTTTGGAATGCTGTGTTTCGTTGTCATTTTTTTATACAGATTTTACTTCATTTTCCACAAATAAATGCCATGTTTTAGTATATTTTAAAGACCAGGCATGGTGGCTCATGCATGTAATCCTAGCTACTCAGGAGGCAGAAATCTGCCCCAGTTCAATGCAAGCCTAAGCAAAAAGCTCAAGAGACTTCATCTCAACTGATAAAAAAAAGTTGGGTCTTGTGGTATACACCGATCATCGCAGTTATGAGGAAGCATAAAGTAGGAGGTCTAGGCCAACCGGGGCATAAACAGGAGACTCTGTCTCCAAAATAACCAAAGCAAAAAGAGCTGGAGGTGAGAGTCAAGAGGTAGAGCGCCTATCTAGGATGCACAAGACCCTGAGTTCAAACCCCGATACTGCCACAAAAAAAAAAAGTGTGTGTGTGTGTGTGTAATATATATTACTGTCTACCTTTGGATGAAATTATACTCTTGAGTGATTCCATGGTTTTAAATGCCCCTGGCACACTGCAGGTGCCCCCAGATTTGCTAGCCCAGCATTTAGAATTGAGGCAGTCCCCTAAGGCGAGCTGAGGCTGGAGCTCTGGGGATGGGTGGCCTCAGCCTTGCCCCCTGAGGGGTTCACCCTCCCTTGGGTGACTCTTGCTAAATAAATAGAAGTGCCCTCACTTCTGGACTGGGGAATTTAAGCCTGGGCACCCAAGCCTTCCCTGGATTCCACCAGTGTAGCAGAGAGCAGCTAGGAGCTACATCAGCCTGAAAGTGGGTAGAGATGCAGATTCTCAGGCCTTCTGGACCCTGGTTGGAGCCCCAGACTCAGGTTTCAAAAAACCCTCCCACTGAGTCCTATGCAAGTTTATGACCGAGAAGCCTAGAAACTAAACTCAAAGAATGGGAGATGCCTGCTGCCCCTGAGGTCAAGGAAAGGGTGGTCCCTTGACTTTGTTTCCCTACTTGCTTCTGCTCTTCTACTTTTCCCTGCTCCTGCTGGAGGAGTTCCCTGGTTATTAGATACCATGGTTGGGAGTCTGGGCTGGCCTGGCCT